TTTTCTGGGTTATTTAGGCAGGTGTAGGTGGAATCTAAGTGATATGCAGGACGCGGTGGGCCCAGCGTCCTCCTACGCCGCCATCTTCCTCAGGTCCCTAAGTCCAAGATCTTAATTTTCTTAACTACACAATCCCCTCAAAAACTCAGAAGGCTTCGGATCTATTTGCTTCCTGTGCATACTGTGGGACAGATGCCTCTGCCAAATAATTTACTAAATTGAATTCTTCTTCTTTATGTGTATTTATTTCTTTTGAGAGAGAGAGGAAGAGAGAGAGACAGAGACAGAGACAATCTCAAGCAGGCTCCGCCCTCAGTGCGGAGCCCAATGGGCAGCCTGACCTCACGACCGTGAGATCACGACCTGAGCCAATGTCAAGAGTCAGATGCCCAACTGACTGAGCCACCCAGGTGACTCTTCAAATTGAATTCTTAAGCCTGATCTATTTCTCTGACTCCTATTCACCATTTCATTCTTTCCCTTGTTTCTGCAGCTCTTATTCATGGGGGCTTATTTCCTTATGTGCCCAGTTGCCTTTGATTGTGCTACTCATTAGTCTTTGCAAAATTACTTGCTGGGATTCCGTAAGGCATAGGGTGAAGGTACTCTCTCCAGAGATACTTGGTTTTCCATCTACCAAATTTATTTTACACTATCACTTGGGCACTACCCTAAACCACGTTTAGGGCGTGGGGTTTCCTGACCCACTCAGGTCTCCAGAACTTGGGCTGTGAATCCTCGCAATGACTGAGCAATGGTCACAAATTCTCAGGGTTAAGTGTGTATATTTCTATTCATTTTTAGTTTTTTCTGCTTCATTCAACACTATGGCAACTTTCCCTGCAATCCTCCAGGGTTGGGTTCAGAAACAGCAAGTTGACTTTTGGTTCATTCTAAGCCTGAGGGTAGAGTCCTTTGCAAGTCCATGGAAAAGCTGGGACCACATCTGGTAAAACTTTCCACCTTGGATGGGCCTTGGAAAATGACTTCTGTTCCTCTTGCCCCATGAAATTAAAAAGATAAACGTAAGTTTCCTGCTATCCGTAAACAAACCTCGGGCAGATTTAATGTTGTTGCCAATATTCTCCCTTTCTTTTCTGGGTTCAGGTTTTCTCCCAGAGTTTTCTCTGGTAATCCCCACTCTATTTTGTTGACTTATCAATGGGTGTAAGATAATTTCTAATGCTTTAAATCCAGGTACATTAGTTTCTCCTCAGAGGGTAATTAGCCCCAATTTTAGGCCACCACTATTGAAAAATAGAATTCCTAAGCACAATGTATGTTCTTGTCATATATTCCTATGAAAACTGAAACATTGAAAGAAAAAAATGGACACGTCAGAATAACACAATATAAGTAAATTTAAAATATTAAGTCAAAGAAAAATATATATGGTAGACCCTTGAACAATATGGGCTTGAAGTGCAAAAGTCCACTTATATGTGATTTTTTACAGGACACTACTGCAAATGTATTTTCTTTTCCTTAGGCTTTTCTTAAATTTTCTTTTCTCTAGCTTACTTATTATAAAAATACAATATATAATACATATAGTATTCAAAATATGTGTTAATTGGCTATGTTATTGGTAAGGCTTCTGGTCACCAGTAGGTTGTTAGTAGTTATGTTTTGGGGCAGTCAAAAGTTACATGCAGATTTTCTACTGTGTAGGGAGTCAGCCCCTTACCCCTGCCTTGTTCAAGGTCAGCTGTAATTTAAAGTGTTTTAAACTGTTCATAGTTGGGAAACCTGGGTGACTCAGTTGATTAAGCATCCAACTCTTGATTTCAGCTCAGCTCACGATCTCACAATTTGTGAGATCGAGCCCCACATTGGGCTCTGCACTGAAAGCATGGAGCCTGCTTGGGATTCTCTCTCTCCCTCTCTCTCTGCCTCTCTCCCGCTCATGTGCCCTCTTTCTTTCTCTCAAAATAAATAAATAAACTTCAAGAAAAATAAAGTAAGAAAAATGAGAAAAATAAAATTTTTAATAGTTAAAAGCATTTCAAATTGTACAAGAAAATTTTCTCATTGATAGTGACCATCAAGATTTTCAAAGGGTCATTAAAGAATCATGATCAAGAATTATGTGGTACATTTCAAGAACAAAATTCTATATAAAAAGTTATACAAGGATACCCTTGTATAACTTGTATAGCCACCCTTGTATAGCCCTTGTATACCCTTGTAAAGCCTTGTATAGCTACCATTGCATGGCTCTGTGCCTTAAGCATTCGACTTTGGTTCGGATCATAATCTGATGGTTCATGGGTTCGAGCCCTGTGTTGGGCTCTGTGCTGAAAGCTCAGAGCCTGGAGCCTGCTTCGGATTCTGTGTCTCCCTCTCTTTCTAACCCCTCCCCTGCTTGAGCTCTGTCTCTGTCTCTCTCTCTCTCTCTCTCAAAATAAATAAACCCTAAATTTTTTTTTAATTTAGACAAAAGCTACAAGAGTGAGAAAGCTGACGTTTCTAATTTAAAAATTTGAAAATACTCAATTTGGTAACTTCACATATACTCAATATACAAGGTCTTTCCTAATTCTTGTATTTTTATTATTCTTACCATAACAATGTGGTATTTTAATGTAATGAATTTTTTCATCATGCCCTAAATAGGGGCTCCCAGATTCCTTCAGTTTATCATAGGATGACTAATGTTTTCTATTCATGCCCGGATATTAAGACAGTTGAAAGTACTGGGAGAGAAATCAAGACCACAGGAACATGCTAGTTAATAAACATAGAATGAGCTGGTTTTATTTTTGAGTAAAGCAAATATAATACAGGTAGGAACACATGCAGGTAGCCAACAGATGCCCACAGAGCTGCAGAGGATTTTCAACTCCATTTTACATAAAATTAAAACTTCTGTGGCTACACCGTCCTAATTTTAGCAAACAGCCCGCAGGGATTTATTTTGTGTCACTGGTTACATGGCACGTATTCGGACACTCCAGTCTTTCCTAATTCTTTATCAGGCTTGCTCTGATGTTCTGATCTTCATACTTGATCAAAGTCTCCTACTTTTGCCCCTAACGGTAGAACTCGTTCGTCGGTTTCGTCATATGCTTCAACATTCTTTAGTGAGGTCAGATGAAGCCCAGTTTCCTCGCCGAGGCACTATCCGAGGCAGCTGTTCTGAGCCCGGCAGCGCAGGAGAATAGCAGGACAGGGTCAACTCTGACTTTGAGGAACATACGTCTCTAGAGAGCGCTATTATTTCCACCCATGGTTTAGAGATTGCTGGGCGCATATCTGCTGTATAATCTGCTGTGTAACTTGGATGAGGTGCCAACACCTGCCTGCTTCAGTTTTTAAGTTGTTTGGAAGGTAGAATGCCTATGGGAGCCTAATAGGACTGATGCAGTGCAAGGGAGGGGGGGTTGTTGTAACCTCAGCTGTGCACAGAGGCAGCATAAAGACATGGAGCCATTTTTTCCTGCAGAAAACTAGAAAGATTCCCACACTGGAGCTGGCAAGCATGGAGATAGGGACTGGGAAATGGAGCCCAAATGAGGCTGACCCATGAAAGGAGCCTCTATGGATCATGATGCTGGTGATCCCCCTTCTCTACCCCACCAAGTTTCAGGGCCATGGGCAGATGCAGCATTTGCCTTCCTATAAACAGGACTGCACCGAGGGTGTGCAGGACCCCAAGCAATTTTTTTTTTTTTTTTTTGAGAATCCCCTGTCTATAACAACAATCTGGCTTAAAACTGCATTACAAAATCCATGGTCCCCGTGTAAGGTAGAGTCATTTATTGATGGAAATCTAGACTACTAGGTAGAGAAAAAGTATGTATTTATGTGTTTGTTGTCTAATCAATGCACATGGAAGTTATTCATAGTGTCTAGGTACCATATCTATTGGTTTGGATCTTAGTATTGCTAAATGTGCCCAGTGTGCTATTTCTGGGTAATTTTATATCTCCTAGTGGTAAGAAAATGATGGCACCATTGTTACTATTCACAATGCCCAGTTCTTTAGAACCCATTTATATGGATATTGGTCATCTGATTCCTGTGGTTCCCTAATACTATTTCCTCATTTTTAATCATATCGTTATTTGTTACGTTGATCATGCATCGGGCTACCCGTGAACACTGGCTTCCAAGGATGTTCAACGGTTGTTCCTGTGCTTCATGGATGATAACCACAAATGCAAGAATTATCCATTTTCCAGGCAGTGAAAATGCAAACAAGACTTCATTTTCCAGTTGTCCTGCATTTACTTTTTGGAGTTGATGGTGTGTGGTATGTCTTAGCCTATGGTGCAACTCATAATCACTGCATTTGTGGAATGGGGTCTCTTTCAACGTGGACTGCATCTCTGCCTTCCAGACCTTGCCACCTGTGGGGAGGACCAACAAGACGTCTGTGGATGGAGTGAAAAGGCAGCCCACTAATGCAAAGTTCTCCCATCTCTGCCCAGCATGCCCTGACACTGGCCAAAGACAGCATGGCATCTCCACATGAGTTGAAGGTAAGAGAGGACATTGAAAGAAAGGGTCATTGATCTTGTGGAGCAACAGTCTGGAAAATTCTGAGGGGGAGACAGAAGTGGTCATCCCTGGAGATCTGCCTTCGCACGGGCCAACAGAGGGTGTGGGTGATGGTCCTGGGTGCCACAGACAGTGGCACGGAAGATAAAGGTCATCTACTACCACTCTGACCATCCTCAGGTGCCATATTCCAAAGGTGCCAGAGGTGGCCCACAGTTGAAACAAAGGGGTGAGAGCTGTCCCAGGGGCCCACAAGCATATTCACCAGCCCCAGGGCTGGTGACGGTTGGTAGTCCAGAGCCCTAAACTAGAAGGATGTAAATAATCTCTGGTAGATCTAATCCAAAAATTATACAAGCCCAATTTCTTCAATGCAGTATTATAAAAAGAAATACATGAGCTGTATAGTTACATACAAACTTTACCCACAATAATCGGGCCTTTACTGATTCAGGAGGAGCTACAGAACCCGGTAGAGGCCCAGTGGTCACTCACTGTGGGAGTGTCAAATTACCGCTTGCAAAATAGCTGCTATGGACTGGATTGCGTCCCCTCCAAATGTCATATGCTCAATCCCCAACTCTCCAGTGTGGTGGTGTTTGGAGACTGGGCCTTTGGGAGGTAATTAGGGTTAAAGATGTCACAGGAGAGGGCCCTCATGATGGGACTGATGGCCCTTATAAGGAGAGACAGCAGAACGCAAGCGCTCTCTTGCTCTGTCTCCCTCACTGACCGCCACCAAATGAAGACACAGTGAGAGTGGCCAACTGCAAGCCAGGAAGAGAGCCCAACCATGCTAGCGTTTTGATTTTAGGCTTCCAGCTTCCAGAACAGTGAGAAAATTAATTTCTGCTGTGTGAGTCTACGGCATTTTGTTATGGTAGCTCCAGCTACTAGAATAGCTAAATATCGCTCTCTATTTTGTGTTTGTTTCTACAACACTAGATAAATTTACTTTAGTTGTATTTTAAAAGGGACATTTTATATATGAATTATTTTTAATTTTTTAATGTTTATTTCTTTTTGAGAGAGAGGCAGAAGGAGAGCGGGGGAGGGGCAGGGAGAGAGGGAGACACTGGATCCTAAGCAGGCTCCAGGCTCTGAGCCGTCAGCACAGAGCCCGACGCGGGGCTCGAACTCATGGACCGCGAGATCATGAACTGAGCCGAAGTCGGACACCCAACCAACGGAGCCACCCAGGTGCCCCTATATTAATTTTTAAACTGAAAAAGTATATTGAGATCTTCATCAGTGTGATTCTGTGCAAGTTTTTTTTTAACCTTCCTGTTTCCTCATCTATAAGTCTTATAGTGGAACCTTATAGGGTATTTATAACGATGAAATCCGTCAATATTTGTAGGGTGCTTAGAGTACTGCCTGCCTGGCACAATATGCTATGTGTTTATTAAATTAAATATAAGTAAAAATAAAGTGCATTCTTAGCATTATTTATATGTATGTTATATTTTTAAATGTTGTCTTTTTACTATAAAAGCCAATTTAGGCCTAATGCCTTCCATGTTTGTTTTTCTCTTTCATGACTATTAATTATTAGAGTATTGCTGATTAATGTATTATTTTCAGTAGAAACACCAAAGCCTTTAAATCATAGATTTTCCTTTTCCTCACTCAAAACTCCTAAAATATAGCAAGTGTTTATAGCAGGACAGAAAAACATTTTAATTTTTTAAAAATATAATTTATTGTCAAATTGGCTAACATACAGTGTGTGAAGTGTGCTCTTGGTTTTTGGGGTAGATTCCGTGTCTTATCCCGCTACATACAACACTAGCCATCCCAACAAGTGCCCTCCTCAGTGCCCATCACCCATTTTCCCCTCTCCCCCACCCCCCATCGATCCTCAGCTGGTTCTCTGTATTTAAGAGTCTCTTATGGTTTTTAATTTAGATTTTTCTGGGAACGCAAGCTGGTGCAGCCACTCTGGAAAACAGTATGGAGGTTCTTCAAAAAACTAAAAATAGAACTACCCTACTAATTCAACAATTGCACTACTAGGGTATTTATCCATGTGGATAGATGTTGTTTCAAAGGGCGCGTGACCCCGTTTGTTGTAAAGTGATATGGACTATCAACAATAGCCAAAGTAGTGCCCCAAATATCCATCAATGGATGAATGGATAGAGAAGATGTGGTATATATATATACAATGGAGTATTACTCGGCAATCAAAAAAAAAATGAAATCTTGCCATTTGCAACCACGCGGATGGAACTGGAGGGTATTGTGCTAAGTGAAAGTAGTCAGAGAGACAAAAGTCAAGGCGACTTCACTCATATGAGGACTTTAAGAGACAAAACAGATGAACATAAGGGAAGGGAAACAAAAGTAATATAAAAAACAGGGGAGGGGATGTAAAACAGAAGAGACTCATAAATATGGACAAACGCCTGAGGGTTACTGGAGTGATTGGAAGGGAGATGGGCTAAAATGGCAGGCACTAAGGAATTCTCCTGAATCACCGTTGCACTATAGCGCTACACTGATTTGGATGTAAATTTTTAAAAAAATTAAAAAATAAAATTAAAAAAAGAACATAGCATCCACTCAATAAATAGTAGCTATTAAAAAAAAAAAGAAATAACAACTAAAAAAACAAATACAAACACGGATAATATTTTTGGGACAGGTCTTTCAAAAAGAGAATTAAATGCATATTAATAAATATTTTTTCATTAAAAAAACAAAAACCAAAAAAAACCAAAAAAACAAAAAATTAGATTTTCTACACAGCTAATGTTTATTTTATTTCTCCTCTCCTTCATCAAAGCATACTATTATCATTAGCCAAATTGATGTTAGAACATTTGAACAAGTCAATAGCTTTTTATTTAAGGCAACATTTTCAAATAGAAAAAAACATTGTAAGGTGTCATCCCCGAATAATGATTTCTTTTATCATAATATAAATAATTATTGTCTTTGCACACAGTGACTAGAAGGCAAGGGAAGTTACCTCCCATTTTCTTCAAACTAGACAGGTTTGTGCTTGTTTATTATTTTTGCTTTTTCTTTTCAGAAATAGCACATTTAAACATTAGGAATATTATCTTGATTTCTTATGTTTTTTGGATCCTTAGAGACTCTACTCCCATTTATATATCATTTAGTGTTCTTTTGTACTAACATACCATTGCATTGAACATTACTGTCTTTCTATTAAAGAATTAGGGTGTACATATAAACTTTTCTCGATCAACAATCATGGGACCCAAGGTTATATTCAATATAAGGGGCTGTCTTCAACAGTGTCCACATTTCACTTCTCTCAAGAAATATGTGGATTCTGAAAGCAAAGTGCTTCTAGAAGGCTGGAGAGGTTAGGGTCTTTATGAATTGCACCGATTTCCCCATTCTCGTCTTTTAATTCATGGGCTTTTTTCATTCAGGGAAGGAAACAACGGATCATCTTCAGTAGCAGAATTTCATCAAATGCTTGGGCGTGTGGAGGTTTTGGTCATCCTTTTTGTCCAGAAAAGAAAAAGAAAAAGAAAGGTAAAAGAAAAAGAAAGGAAAGAAAAGAAAATAGCTAATCTTCATGAACCAGCAGGAGAGCCTCTCACCAACCCAGAGGGTGCTCAAGAAGTCACTGCCCTGAGAGCTTCAGGGAACAACACACCATCATACAATGAATTTATCCACCAGGGATGGTATTTGTCCACACCCTGGGTGTGTCCTCATTAGGAGGTCCAGAGTCTCCACTGCTGCCCACTGCTGGGTTACCTACATCACAGAAACAACCTCCTCTTGCTACCACTAACTCGCCTTCAAAGAAAGTAACCTGTTTCTGCCCCTTTAACCGGACTAGGGTTCTAAATCCAGTCACTAGGTGTGAAGTATCAAAACCAGAAATGGGGAATTAAGGAGCGACCATCTTTTTTTTTTTTACTTTTTTACGATTTGTTTATTTATTTATTTATTTTTCCTTTTTTTTTAATATATGAAATTTATTGTCAAATTGGTTTCCATACAACACCGAGTGCTCATCCCAAAAGATGCCCTCTTCAATGCCCATCACCTACCCACCCCCCCCCCCCCCACCCCCCCATCAACCCTCAGTTTGTTCTCAGTTTTTAAGAGGTTAGAGTGGGAGAGAGCCAAAGCATAAGAGACTCTTAAAAACGAAGTTTAATCATCTTTAAGTTGAAAGCCTTGCAGACAGCCTCATGTCATTAAAAACAAAACAAAACAAAAAGGTCTGAATCCTGTGGATCCAACCTCAGTAATAACCAGTGGCTGGGACAGATGGCAGAAGACAGTCTTCCCTCTGCGTTCCAGATGGAGATTAATCTTACCTCTGTTAGCACGCACTCCGCCTTAGCTGAATCATTCAATCCCCAAACAGTTATTCATTCAAAAGAGACAAGGATTCTTAACTCTCGGTTTGAATAAAGAATCCAGCAAGACTGTGGATTTTACTTTATCTTTTGAATAATGGGAAAAAAGAAAATTTCAAAGCTCTTCCATAAATATAAGGCTCACAAGTATTTATATCTTTGGCAAAGCAGATATATGAATTTAAGCATTACAGCCAGGGCTAATATTATTAAAACAACCAATCAAAAGCCCATACTTTAAGGGAATATGTTCCAAACCATAGGATGACCTTTACATAACGCAGTTCTGAGACTCTTTGTAGGAGAGATTGGGAGAAATACATTCCAATCAGGCGAGCATACAGTCAAGCAGCTGACACAGGCTTTCCCCTACTGAAAGTCCCACTCAGAGAGAAAGGTCTTGCTAAGTGAAGGTAATTTATAATAGGGGACAGTCTGCCATGCTGCTCCGAGAAAACAGTTATTTACTGTAAGGAAAAAAAAAATTCAAATCAAGACAATGGAACTATTCATCACTGAAAATTTATTTTTTAAAAAAGCCCTGTGTTGTATTTAGGTTTCAGGAAAACTAGGAATCACCAAGATTTATCCTCAGAAAGAGGAACATGTGAAATTGCTTATTCTCATTATCAGGAGTGCATTACACTGATTTTGAGAGTTACTGTAATTTTCACAATAACCATTGCTCTATTTCTTTAATTATTCAAAACAAGATTTGTCAAAGTATAAAATTAAATTCATCATAAAAAGGTACTAATCTATATTTCAGAATAGATAGACCAATATAGTGAAATGTTTAAATGCAGAAACAGATCTAACATCATATGGAAACTTGATTTAGGATGAATTTGATGTCTTAACTCAGTAGAAGAAGAAAGGTGTATTTAAAACATTTTTTTTTTACATTTATTCATTTTTGAGAGACAGAGAGAGACAGTGCACAAGTGGGGGAGGGGCAGAGAGAGAGGGAGACACAGAATTTGAAGCAGGCTCCAGGCTCTAAAGTGTCAGCACAGAGCCCCACGCGGGGCTCGAACCCACGAACCGTGAGATCATGACCTGAGGCGAAGTCAGTCGCTCAACCGACTGAGCCACCCAGGCACCCCAAGACTAGGTGTATTTTATAAAAATGAGGCCAGCATAAATGCATATTGTTCTGGAAGAAAAAAAAGATAACTGCATACATCATTTACATAAGTAAAATCCAGGTAGAAGTATCTACCATTTAAATATGCATATATCATTTTATTGTTTTTTTGTGAAAGC